TCTATAAGGTTTTTCATTGGCTGAATTTTAAAAAGTAGATGACTAGGGATTCTTAATTTATATTGTTATTATGTTCTGTTGAGTGCGAACTGACCCACGGCTGACACTATGGCAGTAAATCACAGGGAATGAGATTGTCTTCCTCAAAGCAGCAGGTGAATTAGAACTGTGTAGTTTGGGGTTGACAGCACAATTCCTTCCCACTAGGCCAACAGAGGTCCCTAGTTCGTCTTAGTTTTGATGTTTTGCTGAAATCCATTCAGCATTGTCACAAGAAAGCCTCCACTGACAGATGGGCATGGCTGTGGATGACAAGCCTGAGCCAGGGCTTAACTCTTGGTTTCCCACATGGAAGGTGAAAACTTAGCACTGAACTCTCAATATCTCATCTGAATCTACCTTTTTTGCACAGGCCACACCCTAGTATGATTAAGCTAGAATCTGTAGAAGTGGGACCCAGGCACTTTGATTTTCTAGGGCTACCCAGATGATTCTCATGTGCAGCGAAATGAAAGAACCAGTGGATTACATGCCTTTTAAGGTCATTCTGTATTTAATATCTCTTAGCAACACTTGCCTGTGAAGCACATGGCCACCATAGTTTAGCTTCTCCAGATACTCATAATTCAATGCAAACCCTATAATAAAACCTCACATTCAACCTTCCTAGAGTTAGCCTCTTTGCCGTAGTCAACTCAAAATCATAATATTTAATAATCGATGTAACAATCTTAAACTTATTACACCTTTCATATTTCTATGAAGGGACACATTTTAATGAGATAATAGAACAATTCAGGTATCATTTGTTGTTAGAATTAATTGAGTCCAATATAATTCAGAGCGACCCTATGCACTACAGATCATATCTCATCCTATCCTGCGTCATCCTTACAATCCCCTTCATGCTCCAGCCGATGGTAGCAGTCACAGTGTCAAGTCATCATCTCAGTAAGGGTCTTCATATATTTCATTGACCTTCTACTTTCCTCAACATGATACCTTATTCTAAAGACTATCTCTTCTTGGTAACATAGTTCATTCTAAACTGTTTCCTGGAGTTTGGAAAACGATTAATTAATGTATCAACTGAGTGACTATCAACTAAGGCCTCATTTGTAGATACAGAGTCTATTGAATAGTGTGAATAGTCTGTTGTACTGTAGAAATCACAGTCCAAGTGGCAGTAAAAATACACAGTTGATGCTGAGTCTATTTCAATGCATGGTGATGCCTGGTATTAAATAGTAGACCTGAGTTCCATAGGGTTTTCAATGACTGCAGAAGCAGAGCGTCAGCCTTTTTTATGAGGGGCATCTGGGTCTATACGAACCTTCAACCTATTGGTTGGCAGTCAAACGTGTTAACCATTTGCACCACCCAGGGACTCCAGCAATAACAATAACAATGTCAGACATAGTCTACAAAAACTGAACACTAGGTGCTTTCTTTTTTTTATTTTTAATTTTAATTGTGATTTTGATGAAAGTTTACAGTAAAATTGGGTTTTCATCCATTGTTACACATTTTCCTCCCTCCCTCTCTCTTTCCCCTCCACCTGTACAATTTCTGTTTTTTTAAAATTGTTCATTTATTGTTGCAGTTTCCTCCTTCCTCCTCTCCCAGTTCTGGACTGTTGTCTTACATATAATGCTTCATCATATAGTTCTCTCCCTCATCAGTTCCACTGCAGTGTCCATTATCCATCTCTCTCTTTCTATTCTCTTCCCAGCTGCCCATATCACTCATGCTTCATAACAGTGGTGTTATGCAGTATTTGTCCATTTGAAACTGAGACATTTCACTCAGCAATATATCCTCCAGGGAGAAGTATGTACACCCATGTGTATTGCTTTGCTATTCACAATAACAAAGAGATGGAAACAACCCAAATGCTCATCAACAAACGAATGGATAGAAAAACTATGTTATATTAATAACACAATGGAATACTATACAACACTGAAAATTAATGAACTAATAAAAAAACAAGAGTGCTTTTAATGTTGTTGTTCTTGATGTTGTTGTTAGGTGCCATCAAGTAGAGCACAAATGAAAGCGACCCTATGAACAAAAGATCTGAACCCTGTTCTATCCTGTGTCATCCTCCTATTTCCTGACACACAAGAGCCCATTGTAGCAGTCACTGTATCAGTCCACCTGGTTGAGGGTCTTCCTGTCCTTCACCAACCCTCCACCCTTCCCAACATCATGTCGCTTTCCAAGTAATAGCACCTCCTAGCAACAATGTCCAAATTATGTGAGGTGAAGCCTCATCATTCTTGCCTCCAAAGAGCATTCTGGCTGCACCATCTCTAAGACATATTGTTCATTCTCTTGGCTCTCTGTGGGATGTTCAGTGGTCTCCTCCAACACCAGAGCTCAAAGGAATCAATTCTTTTTCCGTCATCTTTATTCATTGCCAAGCTTTCAGATTCATAGCTAGTAATCCGAAAGACTATGGCCTGTACCAGATGCACCTTAGTCACCAAACTGATATCACTACTCCTCATTAATTTGGAAAGGTTCCTAACTGCAGATTTTTCCAGTGCAACCCATCTCCTGATTTCCTGACTGCTGATACCAAAGGTGTGAATTGTGGATTCAAGCAAAATGAAGCTGTTAACAAATTTAATCCTCTCTCCATCCATCATGATACTGCCTATTTGTCCATTGGTAAGAATCTTTGTTTTTCTGACATTGAGATGCAATCCTTACTGAAGGCTGCAGTCCCTGATCTTCTGCAACAAGTGCTTCATATCCTCTTCACTTTCAGCAAGCAAGGTTGTGTCATTTGCCTAACGCAGGTTATTGATGAATGTTTCTCCAATCTTCCTGGATAATTTTCTCAGCATACAGATTGAATAGGTATGGAGAGAGAATACAACCCTGTTGCACTCCCTTCCCAATTCCAAACTGTGCAGTTCTCCTGCTTTGTTTGCAAAACAATTTCTTGGTCCAGGTATATGTTCTGCATGAGCACAATCAAGTGCTCTGTGTTTCCCATTCTCCTCAATGTCAGCCACAGCTTATCATGAGCCACACAGTCAACTGCCTTTGCACAGTCAATAAAGCACAAATAGACATTTTCCTGGTATTCCTTACTTTCAGACAGGATCCATCCGGCATCAGCAATTATATCCCTAGTTCCACGGCCTCTTATAAATCTTGCTTGAACTTTTGGCTGTTCCTTATCTATGTACTGTTCCAGCCATTTTTGAATGTTCTTTGGCAGTATTTTGTTTGCATGGGATAACATAGTATTTTAAATCTCCACTATTGTCTCCCTAGGTAAGCATTCTCCATTTTAGGGACGAGAAAAACAAGGCCCCCACTGAGGAAAATAAGGCACAGAAAAGTTAGGTAACCTGCCAATATCACAAAGCTAGGAAATTGATCTGTCACCTGCGACTGTGAGATTCTGAAGTGTGTGCTGTTTCCAACATCCTGCAAAATCCTTAGAAGAAAGACAAGAGGTTGAGAGAGAGAAAAAGAGAGATGAAAAAAGGTAACTCAGATGAGAACAAGGGTGAGAAGCCTGGAGTGGAAGAAATGCTATGATTTGTTCAGATGAAAGGTCCTAAAAGCTAATAAACACTAGATTAAATATATCAATCTTTTGAGCCCAATTCTGTCAGTAGGCATCATACTGGAAGAGTTGAATTCATTTCAAAGGATTGGCTCTTCTCTCATCATTTAGTTCCAGTTCTCTCAATTTTGTTTTTTAAAATAAGCTTATTATATTAAAAAAAAAGCTCATTGTGTACCTTTTTTTATATCATAGCTCAGTGGTCTCATTTTTCAGCCAGCTCAAGCTCTTTTTGATTCTAAGCAGATTTCTGCTTTTGCTGATGGTCACCAGGGATGATACGAAATGTGCAGAAATGGACACAGCTGTGACAATAACCTTCTCTGTCATGTTCATATCCAAACATTGGATGGATCAGAACATTTAGAACTCTCTCTCCTCTCCCCTACTCATACTCAATATGGGTTAAAACTTGAAGATCTATACATCTAGTTACTCAGGAATCTAAATGTAAATCTAATATTTTAGGAACCCACTGAGCTAAAATATCTCTCCTTGAAACTAGATATGGTTTGAAAGTTTATAAACACATTGTGGCCTAAAGGAGAAAAGAAAAAAAAGAGCAATAAATTTTCTTAATGGGCCTTTTGCAATCCATTTCAGAGCATAGCCTAAACAAGTTAAATGATCAAAAGACCTTAGGATCTGGAAGGGTATTCAGAAACTAGCAAGTAGATACGGCATCAGATATTGTTAAAAGATTCTGAAGCATTTATTCCACTCACAGAATGGAAATTTCCTGTATTTACTCGGAAAGGACGCATAGTTACACAAAATATAAACTCTATATGTATATATACATACGTACTGCACATGCCAAATGTGTACACTTAGACTGAACAAAGCTTAATAAAGGCTTATTGTCAGATTAGACCTTTTTAACAGTAACCTTTTCCTGTGGAAAAATACCTTCATTCTGGGAATTATAAATAAGATACACTCTGATAATGCAAATAATGCTCCAGTGATAAACCATCACACAACCTAGCTTGAGCTATCAATAGAGTAAACATAGGTAGCCTCTATTCCCAATAATCAGAGCTTAGGTTAAGAGACTGCAGGAAGACACATAATTTGTTCTGTTTATATTCCTTATTCTCTTTTTTTCTAAGATTTGAAGCAAAAACAGGTTAATGAAAATAAAGATGATACTGTTTGAAAAAGCTGGTATCGCTGACAAGCAATTTAGAACATTTGTAGTTAGGAACTGTTCCACAGAGACCGACCATAAGCTGGTTTTTCTCTTCCAAATGTTCACCAAATAACAAATGCATATTCAGGACAGTTTTGTTTTCACATTGAAATACTCTTTACACACACACACACACACACACACACACACTCATTACAACCTCAAACCTCTCTGTCTGAATTAAAGGTGCTAACAACCAGAGCAGCTGGGAAAACCTACCTTTTTGTTGATCAAACACAGATGGAGGGCTGAAATCCATGGTCGCTTGTCTCATCATTTACCATCAGAATGGCAAAAAGCATCAGGGCTCTAGAGAGGAGAAAACACGGCATCTTACGTTGCAGTCAACATAACAGTCAGCAGCAGCAGCAGCAGCAGCAGCATCACTTGCCAGGAGCTCTGCTTGAGGGAGAAATGTGCCTTAGAGCTGCAGGTTGTTGTTAAGACAAGTGATGGGAATAGGTAAATGCTACCCCTCCAATACCTGGCAGGAAAGAGTTACTTCCTATGGCCTCATTCAGCAGCTAAGACTTGTGTGTAAATATTACACACACTCCATCCCCAAACAAATAAAACTCAAGTCCCCTAAACTGTATTCAGGGCGATGGGCACCTGTGTTGGATCTGGGCCAGGAAATCACTGCAGGTCACCGGGCTTCAGCTGCCTGGATGTTGCTTAAAACCTACAGAAATCTCAATGGGTGAGTGAGGCTTCGCAGGGCCAGACAGAGCATGTGCAGAGCTGCCAATGCAGTTTGAATTCGGCTGTGCTCCTGGCAGAGTGAGAACTGCATTTGGGTCATGTGAGCAGACAGTGCCATCTCAATGGAATAAGACGTAAATATTGTAGCAGGAGACTGCTGGCCATGTGCTGTGTGGAGTAATTACCCAGGTTCCGAGCTCTTCTTCATCTCCCCTCAGCTCTGTTCTCTGAAGGTGGGGGGAAGGAAGTGGCACTTGAAAAGCTATTATTTTTAAGGCTCACGTATTTGCGATAATAAACGTATCCAGTCCAGTCATCAGGCTACCTTTTGCTGCACTGTATGAGGGGGCAAGAACCTCTATCGTTTGAGAAGCAACTGAATAAATAATATTTAGCTTGCATTCTGTAGATTTAAAAACAGAGGTAAAGCCTTATGTGAACTGGCACCAATATATTGTCAATTTTTTTTAAACCATCAAACCTCAAGCTTTATATTTCATTGTTTAGATTTTTATAAGTCCTTTGTCTACCCACTACATATGTAAATAACTATGTACTTTATGTATGTACTTTATTTATGTAAATAAATATGTACTTTATGGATGCTTAGAATAACACTGAAAAAGATGCAGAAGAAAATATACTAGATGACTAGCTGATTAACTCAGGGGAGTGCAGTTAAAGTAGGGGGCTTTTAATGCTAGATTTTACCATTTTATCTGTCTCTGAATTTTGGGTCTATAATAGTTGCTTGGTTTTTTTTAAGATGCATCATAAGAAAATATGATAGAATCAATTCAAAACAAACCAACCACAGTCATCATGATACTACTAGATTTCTAGATAAATTAAATGATAGCCTCGTTGTAAGATGCTGCTCTCAATCCCAAAGGCACTTGGTTTGAATCCACCCTCTTCTCAGTGGGAGAAAGATGGGCAATCTCCTCCATGTGGTTATAGCCTCTGAAAACCTCCTGGAGGGCCAGCTATGGGTCAATTCTGAATCAAGGATACAAAACAATAGGCTGATAGATGGACAATCTCCTCTCCTGTGATCAAATGCTTCTGAAAACCTGCTGGAGGGTCAGGTGTGGGTTGGTTCTAACTAGGGGACACCCAACTAAACAACAACAACAGCAACAACAACATGATAGAAACTCTCACTGGTGGTGTTGATAACAATAATTCTCTTATCTTTTTAAAAAAAATGTTAGTCTTATTTGCCTTTGAATGTAGACTTAAAGCAGAAATTTCTCTACACATGGTTGTGTATTATGGGCTGACCTGATTGAGAATTTTATGTTCTTTTTGTGGTCAGACTCCTTTCTCATCTCAATGTCCCATTGTTTAGTTTTTATAAACAAATCCTCCCCAGCCTCCTCTGTTTTCTGAGAATAATCCCACTGGTATGGAGTTAATTCAAACTCAACACTGACTCTCAGGCCATAAATGTTAGTGGGAGGAGACTTCTTTTGTGAGTCTTCTTCTCACACAGCAGTTGGTGAATTCAAACAGCTAACAATAATATTGATATTGATATCTATCCTCATTACTCCAGTCACTGAATCAGTCCATCTCATCAAAGGTCTTGCTCTCTTGTGCTGTCCCTCCACCCTCCCCAGCATGACATCCCTCTCTTTGCAACATGCCCAAAGTGTGTCAGATGGAGCTTCAGGAATCCGTGTCTCCAAGGGGCAGCCTGGTTTCACCCTTGCCAGGACGAACTTGCTTGTTCTAGCAGCCCAGGGTACATTCAATACTTTCCTCCAGCACCACAGCTTATATTACAAAAATAAGGGCTGATATAAATGGGATAGAAAACAGAAAAGTGATTGAAACCATCAACAAAACCAGGAACTGGTTCTTCAAAAGGATTCATAAAAAAAAAATAAACCACTGATTGGCAAACTTAACAAAAGAAAGGACACAAATAACCAGAATAGGAAATTAAAGAGGTGACATTACAATAGAACCAGATGAAACTAAATAATAATACTGGAATATTATGAAAAGCAATACTCTGATAAATTTCAAAACCTAGAGGAAATAGTTACCTAGAAACCCACACCCTACGCATACATACACAGACAGAAGTGGAACACTGGAAAAGACCCATCACAAAAGAAGAAATTGAGAAAGTCATAAAAAGATTTCCCACAAAAATAGTCTTGGCCCACATGGCATTCTACTGAACATTGGGAGCCAAACTATCACATATTCTATTTAAATTATTGCAAAAAAATGGGGGGGGGGAAGGAACACTCCCAGAGTCATTCTATGATGCAAGCATAATTCTATCACTTAATATCAAACCCAGGCAAAGACATTGCCAAAAAAGAAAACTATAAACCAATATCTCTCATGAAAAATCTTTAATAAAATCCTGGCCAATAGAATCCAACAGTATATAAAAAACAGTAATTAAGCACAGCCAAGTGGTGTTCATAACAGGGATGCAAGAATGGTTCAACATAAGAAAAACAATTAATATAATTAAATTATATCAACAAATCAAAGAATAAGAATCACATGATCCTGTCAACTGATGCAGAAAAGACTTCATCAAAATCCAACACCTCTTCCTACTTAAAACCCTTGGGAAAAAAGTAATAGAGGGGATTCTCCTCAACACTGTTGCTGTTGATAAGTGCCATAAAGTCAAGTATGACTGATAGATACCCTATGAACAACAGATCTGAATCCTGTCCTATTCTACGCCATACTCACAATCTGTGACACATTTCAGCCCATTGCTGCAGTCATGATGCCAATTCACCTGATCGAGGGTCTTCCTTTCTTTCCCCATTCCTCCTCGTTCCCAGTAATATTCCTTTCCAATGAATAGATTCTTCTAGCAATATGCACAAAATATGTGAGACAAATTTATTTCATCTTTACTTTCATGGAGGACTCTGAAATCACCTTCTCTGAGAAATAACATTGTTCTTTTGGCAGGCAATGGGATATTCAGTACTCTTCATGAATACTACAATTCAAAGGCACAAATTCTTCTGTCATCCTTATTCATTGTCCAGCTTTCAACAGCATAGCAAGTGATTGAAAATACCATGGTCTGAATCAAATGTACATTAGTCCTCAAATGAAATTATTGCTCTTCAATAATTTGGAGAGGTCCCTGACTACAGACTTTCCCCAAGTAATACATTGCCTGATCCCCTGGCTGCTAGCACAAAGGGTATTAATTGTGGATCCAGGTAGGATGAAGTTGTAAGATTAAGTCATTGGCAGTCGCAATATTTTCTCCATCTATCACGATGATTACGCAAAGGTGTTTGTGTGGATCTTAACAAACTGTGGCTGACCCTGAGAAGAATGGGAATCCCAGAACACTTGATCATGCTAATGTGAATCTTATACTTGAACCAAGAGGCAGTTGTCAGAACAGAGCAAGGAAACACTGCATGGTTCAAAATTGGGAAGGGCGTACGCCAGGGATGTGTCCTGTCTCCATACCTTTTCAGCCTGTATGCAGAACAGATCATCTGGGAGGCTGGACTTTATGAGGAGAGATGTGGCATCAGGATTGCTGGAAGATCCATAAACAATCTGTGTTATGCAGATGACACAACCCTGCTTGCTGAAACTAAGGACCTGAAGTGCTTGCTGCTGAGGGTCAGGGACCGCAGCCTTCAATATGGATTGAGACTCAATGTCAAGAAGACAAAGATTGTCGCCGCTGGACCAATTGGCAGCATC